ATGCATACAAATCATAGTCATGAAAATCTACATCCTAGCCGTAAATCGATATTTTTTAAAGCCGAGGATCGACCCATAATATTCACAACCTATTTTAGGAATCAAAGTTTGGTAGTTTTTACATTTTTTGAAGAAGCAAAAAAAGAAAAATGCTTCGAAAGAAGATATTAAAAATATTTTGTAAAAATTTATTTATGGTATGATGATGCAGCCAAATAAAAGAACAGGTATCTTCGGAACAAACTATATATATGGAGAAAACCTTGAATGACCAATGTTTTTTCTCCAAAGGCCAAAATCTGAAGTAAATCAAAGGAGGCTATCATTCTTTTTGAAAGAGGAAGCCATCAAATTCGTGTTATCCAATTATATAGCATCATCAAATTTATATTCATAATCCACTTCTCCATCTCGTGCTACATCATCATACTTGCCCTCTTTCACCTAGAATTAAGTGTCAATTCCATTTTTTCAACTTCTTACATGAGAAAGAAATACTGAATGGACTTTTAAGTATGATAAATCTGACCTAGCCTAGACCAAATAGTATCAGAATTGGCTGAATTATACAACTCAATTCGATTTATACGATTCACAACCAATTCAAATGTTCCTTCTCCATTTCTCGATATAGTCCAATTCACCTATACAAGCCACACTGTTTTGCTTGTGAAAAAAAAAAAATCATATCCTAAGATTCTTGATCTTAGGACGCTTCTCAATTAAGAACTTATGATCTTTTTCTTTGAAATAAAAAGAATATCCATCACAAGCACCAAGGGGATACAAACTCATGTACAACAATATTTATATGTCAAAGCAAAAAAATCAATAAATTAAGATCTTATAATCTAACACATGCAAATAACAATAAGCAAGAAAAAATTTAGAAGCTTTGGCAAAATACCTCCACTAATAAATCTTTCGTTCCTTTGGTCACCCAGTGTGTTTTCAGAGATGAGGCCTCTTGAAGTAATTGCAGTGTTGGTCCTGCTGTCATCAATATATGATGGTGGTAGATTAAAATTTGTTGGTTCAGGTTTTACATTTAGCAACTTTGCATCATTCAAAGAATTTGCATGTACTGGGGATAGAGGGGCAAATTCAGGGGAGGAAACAGTTAAGGAAGCTGGAGGAGGGGTTGACAATGGTAAACTTGAAGGAGTCCTGCCAGCTGCTGCATTCTTCTCCATCTGCAGTAAAAGTAAAAGCAGTCACGAGACACACTCCAACAGAATATCCAGCACCTTTACCGGAAATAAAAGCACAAACCTGGGCTAACCCATCTCTAATGTAAGTACGAAATGCCTCACTAGCATTCTGGAGCTGAGAAAATATATCAACCTACAATGATATTAGAATTTTTAGTGTAAGTATAGGAGCTAGAGTGGTAAAGAATAGTAAGCCAAAAATTTCCAAGTCAACATTGCACACCCATCAAAGTACCTTTGGGTATAGTTGCGTAATTCGGTAAAGCTCATAAAGGCCAATACTGCATGTTTGCTTGTCACCAATTTTCTTAAATATTGCAGCAAGTTCTTGCTGAATCCAATAAATTAAGTTAAGTGATGAAAAGGAAAGATTCAATATATGAACAAAAGGACATTGGACATTGTTCAACAATATGGGACACGAGAAAAACTCTTGCAACACAACACCTTCAACTGGGCATCCGCAGAATTTGTGGCAGGTGATGGATTGTTTGCTGCTGAGTCACCCCAATGAGTTTGACCCGCAGGCCCAGTTGATGTCAGCATTCTCGCTGCAGCTAAAGTCTGTAAATTCCAAAATTATTAGACATGATAGAGTGATACATTAACAAAGATAGTGTAAACACATAATATGTCCAACTCTCTGAATTCTCTGACCTTAGATAAACATTGATAACAGTAATTGCTTGTTTCTGTAGGCTTATCATTTGTTAATTCTTTCATTATTAGAAAAGAATTTATTGAAAAACCACCAGGCCAAAAATTCTTAAGGTCAACAGAAATTCAGTTGGGCCTCTAAAATTCTTTTCATCGGTATAAGCATGTTTATTAAATAAAAGAGTACGAGAGTACACATGAAAGTAAATAAAAATAGTTCAAGAGTACACATGGAATGATCCATGATGGAGAAAGAACTTTATATCTCCCAAAAGGTCTTGTTTTCCTTTTATCCACACTACCAAAATAATGACCAAAGTGGAGAAATCAAGTTAGTCACTTCCTATGAGGAGAGCCTCCCTTCCATGCTCCAAATTCTGAAGTTACCAATCCAAGACTATTGACCGAGCATTAGCAAAAGGAATAGCCATATATGAAGCTCGTGTCTGTATTTAGTTCATTCTAGCCAAGGCTCACCAAACCTCCTTTATGAAGTAAGAAAAATAAGCCTCCTGTACTAGTGCCATAACACCCCAAATTCTATCAAGTCCAATTAGCTCATTTCAATAAAAACTCCACAACCTCTTAAGTTCATGGCTTGCAACCAATGAAATAATTCTCGGTTTCCCAAAATCCACAGCATTGAATAATCTACAACCTTTAAGACCCTCTGGAACTGCGTATGAAGATTTGGACAACTTAGGAATTAATTTGTTCAATATTTTTCTTTTTTTTAATGTAACTTTGTTTAATAGTTTAACATGCATAAAATTATAGATTTCACTTTTCAGTTATTTGTGGTAAAAAAATTTCAAAACATTCTGGTTCAGATATGTTAACTTGGAAAGCACATCGTACTGCAAATCCGA